ATCCTTCACTGTTTGTATCCGTGTGTGTTCACCCCTAAAGGACATCTATTTGCACAACCCAAATGTGAGATGGGAGGACATCATCGGCCTGGAGGATGCCAAGCGATTAGTCAAAGAGGCCGTCGTTTATCCCATTAAGGTGAGCCCGGCACCTAGCCATGGCTGGTATTTCGATTCTGAATACATCTCCTTTAGGGGCTTAAAGAGGAGCAGGGCAGTGGGGTCAGGTCAGTTTATTAGACTGACATTAAATCTATATCTGGGATCTTATGGCAACTCGTATACACAGATGGATAGACAGAGAGGTGGAGGGGATGCGCAAACATGGAAGGCCATGTAGAATTTACCATACCCAGGCAGGCTCAGACAATTTTGCCTCTGTGTATAGATAACCATCATACACACATTTTTATCATCATCATACAGACCTTTCTGTTGACATCAAATCAGCTTGCATCCTCTTGACATTTTCAGATGAAGATGAGGACTGATGTGTCTATCTTCTTACATATATGGTGTTAGACTCTTTTATTGAATAAAACCACCTCTCTGTGGTCCCTAACTTCTGTCTCCATTATTATTCATTCTCCGTCTTATAAGGTCAGGCGCATTTGATTTGAGTCGCTTCACCACCTAAAATTCAGACTAATTTGTGCCTCATGGAATTTGGAGCACTGACTCAGATTTCCATGCGCTTCAACGCCTTCACCTGCACATAAGTCGGCTGCTGTTGTAGTTAGGAAAATATAACAACAGAGATTTATAGATGGTTTGTGAAGCTCATATTCATAGCTTTCTCAGACTAAATCCCCCCCACCCCGCTGTTGATTCTCTTTTTGTCTCATTTGCCCTCTTTACAGTACCCTCAGCTGTTTACAGGCATCTTATCACCATGGAAGGGCTTGCTGCTTTATGGCCCCCCAGGTAAAACTGCTCTTATTCACATTTTTCATGTAAATATTCCTGACTCAGATTTCTGGATATTTCAATCGCTTGTGAGAAAATATTAAAAGATTAATTAAAAGAATACTCTACATCTGAATTGTTTGAAGGATAGATTACTGGATGTTTGTGTAGATAAACATTTAAACTAAAGTTTGGAAATCCCAAACTTTTCCTTTTCCTGTGTTTCTTCATACCTGGAAAAGGCTTCAGTAAATCATACGAAACCAAGTACACCCTAATCCTTTTGTACCATTAGAGAAGTGATTTAAAAGCTTGTTTTCATGTCTCACATACACACAGGCACAGGTAAAACGATGCTGGCCAAAGCTGTGGCTACAGAGTGTAGGACAACCTTCTTCAACATTTCCGCCTCCAGCATCGTCAGTAAATGGAGAGGCGATTCGGAAAAGCTGGTCCGGGTAGGTCTTCATGCAGAATGGAGATTGCATCTCAATAAATAAGGATTTGTTTTGAAAAATGTATATATTTCCAGACATGGTTCAGTTATATTTACTCAGTTACATTTACCTGAATAATAAAAACAGAACAACTTTTTAAATATTTTACAGCATTGTACTTTCTACTTTTTATTTTTAGTAATCTCCACTGTCGCTACAAGCATGCTTAGTGTGAGGGATTGCATTCAAGTCACTGATTCGATGCAATCAACTGGTTCCCCTTTGATAGAAAACTTTGAATCAAATTGACTGTATGATCTGGTTGAACTGTAAAGTGCCTTGAGATGACATGTGTTGTTAATCAGCACTATATAAATAAACTGAATTGAAAGTAATTTGAATTAAATATATAAAAAATGTCACCACTTTTACTTGAGGAAAGTTTCTGGCTACTTCATCCACTGTCATTAACTTATTGAAAACAAGCTTGCTTCAAACAAATATGCACCATTAAGAGAAATACTTTCTCTAAGGCTTTTTGGTTTAGATTTTTTTTTCCATTTGTTGAATCTGAAAATACAGAAAAAAACATATTGTGACTGACCTTATTCTAACATACTGTATCAATAATTTCACATTTTTTTAATGTATTTTGAAGAGTGTTCATGACACCTACATTTGTAACTATGTAATTACTGTACGTTTATTTTTTTATATAAATTTTTTTTTTTTTAAACACAAGATTGTGTACATAATTTTACATTATTTTCTAAAACAATAAATTACGGTAGTTATCTTTTATAGTAAGTCGATCAGTTACTCATTACTTGCGTAGAGTTTTTACTAAATTCCTTTTCATTCTTACTTGATTCATTTCTTGGATGCCTGCTTTTTACTTTAACTTGAGTAAAATATGAATGAATATGAATGAAGTATTGTTACTTTTACTGTAGTACAATTTTTGGATCTCTGTGTATTTTCCTAATTCACCTTAAAAGGTAATGCTTGTTTCCATTTAAAGCCAGTGCGTGGCCTCTAGGGATGTAACTGGCAGATTAAATAATCTTCAGTTAGCTCTCATGTTTAAGTGAAGCTCTGACTGCCGTAAAGCGGTGCTCTGGGTCACATGACCCATTCAGTGACGGATCCGACCCTTTCAAGTTACATAGGTGAGATTTTTTTTAGAAGAGAAGCCCATGCATAATGCATCCATACACAACAAGTTCTGGTTACTGACCTGAACAATATTTTTATACGTTTCAAATTAAGCTAATTTGGGTCGAAACTTACTGATTTAAAAAATATGTAAAAATTTATTATCAGCCTGTTCCTTTAGGGCCAAAATAAACGTTTGAAATATGTATCAGTTTCTCTTACTGTCATTAGTTGTTGATATAAATGTGTTTCTTGAGGGATTTCTATTCTTAACATTTATTGATAAAACAAATAAAAGATGCCCAGTTTGTTTTTACACCTAAACATGTTTTTGTTTTTGCAGGTTCTTTTTGAGTTGGCAAGGTACCACGCTCCATCCACTATCTTCCTGGATGAGCTGGAGTCAGTGATGGGCCAAAGAGGAATCAGTTTAGGGTATCGGCTGAAGACTCAAAACACCTCATTGTGTGAGTCATGTCCACCTAAACCGGACAGAAACCATGTGTCTGTTTGCAGGAGAGAGCATGAAGGGAGTCGGCGGATAAAGACGGAGCTTCTGATTCAGATGGATGGGCTTGCTACATCAGAAGACCTTGTGTTTGTTCTTGCTGCCTCTAACCTGCCCTGGTAACACTGCAACACATACACCTTTATACAGTGGTATTCATTCTGACTATTAGTGTCTGTGTTACACGCAACTCTTGTTCTATTTAATCCTATTTTATGTTGTAAAAGAAGAAGTGTGAAATATCAAAGTAAAACACATCAAAAGCATTTTTTTACACTGCTTTATTGTCATTATACTGTCACAAGTACAGGTCAATTCAAATCAATTCAGTTTATTTACATAGCGCCAATTCACAACATATGTCATCTCAAGGCACCAGATCATACAGCCAAATTGATTCAAAGTTTTCTATCTAAGGAAAACCAGTTGATTGAATCGACCATTTGACTCGAATGCAATCCCTCCCACTAAGCATGCTTGTAGCGACAGTGGAGAGAAAAAACTCCAACTGCCCACAGAGCAATGAAACTTACTCGCAGCATTCAACCCATCCCCTTATGGAGCAGTGGGCTGCCATTTTGGGGCTCCCCAGGGAGCAGTGTGGGGTTAAGATTCTTTGCTCAGTGACCCAGAGTGGCAGTCTGTGGGAGTGGTTTCAAACTCACAACCTCAGGATTCCAAGCTCTATGCTCTAACCACTAGGCCACCACTCCCCCAGTAGAAATATGGCCTTACATCAGGTTTCAGAGTATTTTCATTGAGATTTTAAGTAATAGATGAAAACAAAATAGGGCATGGTTGAATAGTGGACAAAAAATTATTAGTTCTTAGAGTATTTTCAAGAACTAATATCTGCAAAGTGGGACTTTTGTATCGAAACAGTTCAAAAAAATTTTTTTTGTTTTTTTTCAAAGATCAAAAGCTCTGTTAGAACCTTTTTTTCCCCCCACTCAACAATTCTGCTCAAGTTTATATTGATCTATCCAATAAAATCCAAATAAAATAGTCTGAGGTTAAATCATGACAGAATATTAAGATCTTAGTAAGCGAGATGATAAAGATATCAGCTGTTTTTTTTTCCTCTTTCTCTTGTTTCAGGGAGCTGGACCACGGGATGTTGAGGAGGTTAGAGAAAAGGATTCTAGTGAATCTTCCCTCCTCAGCAGCTCGCCAAGCCATGATCTCTCATTGGCTGCCTCCCCTCAGCTCCCTTGGGGGTGTGAAACTACAGACTGAATTAGACTACAAAGAGCTAGCAGAGGTGAGTTATAGCTTACAGGCAAATATCAGCATTCATATTATGAGATATATTTAAATCAGGACTAAAATAGTTAAATTTTTTTGTTCTGACACAGCAGATGGAGGGATACTCTGGCTCTGATATCAGATTAACGTGTAAGGAAGCCGCCATGAGACCAGTTCGCAAGATTTTTGATGCTCTGGAGTCGCATCATGATGGTGAATAAAAAAATTCCCACGCATTTTTAAATGGTGATCCCTTCAACTGTTCAGGTTGCTGTGATTCTCATCCACAGCAGACACAGACATGCCCATCATCGAGCTGGGAACAGTGACAACATCAGATTTCCTGGAGGTTCTAACAGACACTAAACCGTCAGCCCAAAACCTGATGGACAGATACACAGCCTGGGAGAGGAAACACAAGTCGGTTTGACTGTCAGGATGAAAATAACGCTCCAAACTGGAAATTTTTTTCTTTTTTAAACCTTTTTATTTTTCGTTTCTTACTACTTTGTATTATAATAACATAGATATTTAATTTCTTCATGAGGGTGTTTTGGTATGTTGAGCAAAACAAAATGATATTGCAAAAAACAAAATGTTTGCCTCCTTTTTTTAAGAGTATAAATTAGGTAGCATACGTGTGTTTTTTTAAATGTGCAAAATGCTCAAAGATTTCTCTTCTGAGTTTAAAATTATTTGTAAATTGATCACAGTACATTAGCTTTAATATTAATTTCCCAAATATTCTTTCAGAAAAAAATTAGAGCAGAGAAACAACAGAGTTGTTGCAATGTGGGAGAGTTTCTGCAAATGAGATTAGAGGGCAGCAGCCGATGGTGGTTTATAGCAGATTCTGCAGGATGTGTTCGACTGCATCAGGAAAACTGTTGCATGTCAGGTAAGGAGGCGGATCAATTTTCTTCTCATCTCCGTCTCTGTATTTACCTGAAGCATAAAAACACATTTTATTGGAGCTCAAATGAAATAACAATAATTTCAGACATCTTGGAGGAACATGAGGATGGAAGAGTAACATTCATTGCTGAGCTGATCTCAGTCATTAGGTTATCGACTCATCTTGCAAATGAGTCAATAACCTTCTATCATGAAATTTATTTAACTCCATTCACCTCCCATTAAATCTAACTAGCTTCTCCATCACTTCTCAGGAAGATCATATTTTACTACAAGGACAGAGTGTTTAGGGGGATGTGCATTGTTTCTTTTCTGCCATATTTCACATGAAGAGTTTAATCTATCCATACATGCTTGCAGTGTCACCTGTAAGACTTTCAACTTTTTATTTGAATTTAAGCATAAATGCACTGAAGTGAGCAGTTCTCACAAGAAAGCTGTGAAGATTTTAAGGGTAAGGAGTCCTTCTGTGGGCCCTCGTTATATGAAACATTTGATCAAGCTAATGTGGTGACTCGACTCACCTGTTCTGACCAGAATACCCAACATTCCTGCGTTCTGAGCCCCGCCTACATCATCTCTTGCATCCTGCAGGAAATCAAAGTTAAAAAGGGTCAGAACTTGGCTGCGTATAAAATCAGGGGATTCCAATCATGTGAATTTAGATTTTGTTTTGTTATATGAAGGCACCAGTGAAATGGTTACAAATATACTCACGTCTCCTATCATGACGGCTTCACTAGGACTGCATCCGAGACCAGACAAGGCCTATTTAAAGCAAGAAGAAGAAGAGGTCCTACACATCATTTTATTGCAGAATTCCAGACTTTTCCAGATTTCTGGTGTGAATCAATGGAATTGGAGATTCTGGATGGATGGACTGAATGATATGATGAGCAGACTAATTGAAACCTTTAAAGCCTGATCCAAGAATAAAACAAAACAGAAAATTACTTTTTTTTT